GTAATAATACACAATTGTTTATTTAACCATTTTTCATCGCAACTATAATTTAAAGGTCCGCCAAAAACCCACAATAAATAATCGATCAAAAAATATTGATTTTCAAGAATTATATACCATTTCTACGAAAAGTTGTTTTATTGTTAATTTAAATATTTTCTGATTTCAAAATAAAAAATAGGGTTATAATTTTTTTCGATATATAACAATCCTAGGGGGTGAGAGCATTACAATTCCGGCTATACGGTTTTTGGACCAAACAAATGTTCATACATAGATGTTTTAATAAGTGAAATAGTACCCTTGCATCGGCTTAAGTTTTTATTATTTTTTGGTGTTATTGTGCCTTAGGTAAGTTTGCTTGATTTATGAAGTATGCGGTACGCCAAAGGGACTTTTGATAAGCCATACGATTAGGGGGATTAGTCAATTGCGAACATTGAGAAGTTAGAAAATGTTTTGGTACATTTTTGTATTCAAGACAATATACATACATATGTTCCTTAAATTTTAATATTTTCGTTTTATTTTTTAACTAGCCCCCATTGTATTTAAATAGTGCGTAGGCTGCAACTAGCCAACATCTTGTCTGCCACTGCCAGCTCTATGAAAGCTTCTTCAATGATCTTCAATGATAGTAGCCTATGCATTTTTTTGCTAAGCACCAAGTGGTTCAAAGGGGCACAGGGATAAATGCAAATCTCATGCGGCGCCACAAAGAACCCTAAGTCCGAGTGAGTCCACATAGGATTGCCGCCCAGCCTAACCTAACCTTCACCCAGCCATCTATATATAGTATTTGGCATATTTGTGTGATATTTTATGTATAAAAAATTGTGCCATTTGAACCGAACCGAACTGAACCGAAACGCGCCTTACAGAACTCATGAACAGAATCTTGTACCGGTAAAAGTTTTTCCTATGTATTTGCAGCACTGGTTCTTACTTCATTTACAAATGTACAAAATGATTGCTTAAGAAGTTCAATGATTGCAAAAAAATGAAAATAATTGGCCCTGAAAAACAATTAAATTTTGCACAGCCTCATATCAAATACGCAGCTGCGGCTGTTTGAGCCCAAAGAAATTGTTAGGCTGCCCTCGCCGTCCAGCCCTCAGCCGGAAAGATTGTACAGTTGCACATGCCTTGGTTTTCTTCCAGAGGTCGCCGAGGCTCATTCTTTCAAGAGAAGCTCACAAGTAGCCAAGGGAACCCCTATTCACTTGCGGGTTTTGGTTCGAAGATGCCTTTACTGGTCAGATCTTCAGCCCCGCAGTGTCCTGCGTTATCTCTACCGCCTGGCAAAGCCTGCGTGCTGCTAGAAAAATTTTGTTAATGAATTTGACCTCAATGATTTAAAATCGCAATAGATGCATTCTTTTTCACCTCAGATAAAATTAAGCTGCAAGAGTTAGAGCTGGCTACCTTTCCTGCTTTTCCCTTGTGACCACTACGGACTTCGATAAATGCACTGTAAAGGCTACGACGATTACGTTAAATCTAGCGTCGGTATTAAGCTCCTATTGCCATTTTTCAATACACAAACCTGCATTGGCAATCAACACGTGCCATCTTGTTTTTTTCTTACATACATACGTACATATCTCATTTTATTTTAGACATACACAAAAAACATATGAATACTTACACACATATGCATGCACATAAGCAGATACGCACAAAACTTTATGTAAGTACATAAATTTAAATGAAATTTATTGAGCTTTTCGTATACACATTTATCACCTAAAATATCAATAATCCAGGTATCCTTTTTTTTAGTGCTCAACCTCTTATGAATAAGAAAAAAAAAACATACACAGCCATAAGTATACGCAAAGAAACGCAAGTGCTTATTTATATGTGGTTTATTGTGTGCCAAACACTTTCGCTTCGCATCTCAGTCTTCAGTCTTCTGCAGCTCTCACCTTTCGTTTCGGTGTTCTGCAGCTATGTCTTTTATTGCTTGCGATGTTTTCCAGTTTCTCCTGTTGCTTGCTTAGGCACTTTCCAGCGCCTATTGCTTATACATACAAACATATTCACAGCAGCCACAGCAGCAACAATTCAACCAAAATACGAAAAATTCAACCAGAAATTGTCAGACTACTAAACCAAGCAAATAGGACCTTCGCCTCGTAGTCACCGGCTCCTACCCGCTTTACGTTAGATACATTCACACTTCACGCCTCCCTGCGAATTCCTCTATCCTTTAAGCCAAATCCAGCGGCGAGTCCTTCACAAACACCCGCAATAACAAATATAATACATACACACACACACACACACACAAGTAGTTGATGGCGTATGGAGGTTACAAAGTTACGCGTATTTGGAATTTCATTGCCAGCAGACTTTTGGGAGCAGCAATGATAGCGCAAGGCGACAGTGTGGGTGTGTGTGTGGCGTACAAAAAAGCAACAACATCACCTCTCAGCCGTACACCAACCAGTTGAATATCTTTCTATGTGCGCTGTGTTTGTTTTCATTTTACGCAGCAGCTGTAGCGCGCTTTTAGGCGCGCACTCCCCTTGTAAACTGGGTACATACGCACTTGCACATTTTGTCCATGAATGAAATTCTCTCTTACTCTTCGGAGGACTCTCACCTCACTCATTTTCAATGTGTAGATATGCTCTTATTTGTCTTTTTATTCTTTTGCTCACGATTTTTTCTGCTCTCCAGCTAGGAATTGTTTTTGTGTATAGCGACGGCAATTTTTTTACTTTCTGCTTTGTTGTTATAGTCCATATGTTTATTGTAAATACACACACACACACACACGATTTTAATGCTCCTGTTGCGCATTTTGCGAGCATTTTCCCGTATTTCCGCTCATCAATTTTCCCGGTTAGTTGGTTTGATGCTCAGCATTTTTGGTTTTATTTGTGTAAGGAAGCAATTTAAGAGAGCTGGCTGAAATTGAAAGTTCCGTAAGAACGTTTTAAGGTATGTAGAGAGTGATTTGATTGGCAAATTTAAATGATTTTTCAAAAGAAAATAAGCTAGTTTTTTTGAAAAGAAAACTTCAACCTTATCCCTTTGATTTATTACCTGGCTTATAGCTTCTTCCAAATGGGCGATGATTCAAAGTCAGACTACAGGTCGCGTACAGTCCCATCCAGAGAGATGAGCTTCGTGATAGAAGGTTGGCCACTAGGCCCAAGTGGTTTGTCTGTTATACTGGTGGTATCCCCTGGACAGTGTATACTCAGGAGGAGGTCGAGGGTCTCCTCATTCGTCTCAGTCTACGAACTGTCAGCTCTGAGCAAGCAGCTTGGCTTTCTGCGGCCTGAGCAGGATAGATTCTCCTGGGCCTTGTACCCTCCGACACAGATTCCATCCCCCTGGGGCAGAAGTCCATCTAGTTGTTTCTCTTCTATCTTTTTAACAATTTTTTATACTCTCTCAGGAGTTTCCTACTGTAGTTGAAGTAAATCCTGTTGAAAATAGTTGGTATTCGTTTGAGTTGTGACTGATAATATTTTGTGGTACTAATGGTTGTTCCTAGGTGAAGAAAGTGCTTTATAACATAGATGCAGAAGATAGCTTGCGTTTCTTTTTCGTTGTAAAAAAAATGAATCGAATTACCAGCGTTGGGTTACGAACGGCTCCAAAAGGCTCTTGCCCAATTGGATGCAGCTTGAAATTATGCTCCACGAAACCATTCGCGCGTTTTCCGTTTTCAACTTGCGATAAAAACAAACAAGTTTCGAAACACACGAATCAGTCAATATACTCACAAAATTATGGTTCAAATAAAGTATCAGCGGCATCAGGATGTTTTGTAAATGACTTTGCAGCTTCAAAGATATGATTAATCTCAAAAATTATTATTATATGGATTATATGGATGGAAAAATTATATGGATACCAAATGAAGGAGAAAACTCTGTTGAGTTTAGGAGGATGTAGTCGCGTGACCCTAACATATATTTTTGTCGAATATAATTATTGCAAAATTTCTAGGATATTTAAGAACAAAATTTTAAACGGACATTTCAATACCTAATCGTCCTTATGCAAAAAAAAAAAAATTAATCGGTTTTAATTCTACAGAGTTTTGCCTTCCTACACTGTTTTTCTACATTGCATAAAAGTTTTTTAACATACAATTTTGAAGTAATCATATTTTTCAAATTTCAAAGTCCTTCAAAAAAATCCCGGCGTCTGAGAGAAACAACTAAAAACTCAGTTTTACTATATTCTGCCCATTTTCGCGAATTTTCTGTCGCACGGTGTAATCGTGGACTTTTTACTTCAAATGAAATAAAGTTTATAATTTCTTGAATTTGGAACTATTTATTACGTTCCGGCTCATAAGAGAAATTCGTGGCTCAAAATATGAAGAGAATTACCAGCAAAAACATCGACTTGATAACTTTCTCTCTCCTTTTCTCTCTGAGAGCTTTAAAATATTTTTCTTCCTTTATTTTACTTCCAATCGCTATGTTGTCCGGGGCAGCTAGAAAATCGACTGTTGCTTCTCCAACAATGTGTTAGTGTGCATACATACGCAATACACATACATAGAACTACGCAACGATAACAAGAAAAATGAAAATAGCAACAAAGAATATGCAATTTTGTATTCACCTACTTACATACATACATACATTAAGGTAGAATGGAATATGGAAATAGCTGGCTGGTTGTTTTTGCACGCCACCGAACACCGGCGGGAGTGGAACGAGGATCCACAGCAAATGGAGTAAATCAGGAGCAACAGGAATTTCAATGTAAGACGAATGCACGAACCAGCCTAAACCCGAGCCGAATGCGTTGAGCACTGAGTGAGCGTTTTTTTTGTTTGGGAAAAGGAACAGCAAATTCATAGAAAACAGGAGCAAGTACGACAAGTGGTTAACGGTGGCAGCGACCGAGGCAGCGGCAGCGGCAGCGGCAGCGACAGCGACAGCGGTAGCCTGTCAAGGCGACTGGTGAGAGCCTTTCAACCTGAGCCAACATTTCAAATTCATTTGCACAGTTCGAGTCGAGCCGTTGCGAGGATAAGTCGCTGAACGCGGAAAGTGAACTCAACCAACGCAGCGAACAGTGGAGGCAAACTAAGCTGAACTGAACTGAACTGGACTGTGCCAGGCAGTGTAGCAGCAGCAACAACACTTTATGTGTGAGCCAGTATCCTGTGCAGTGTACCTGTTAGTGTAGTGTGACTGTATTGGTGTGCTGCCAATGACGGGCGACAGGTGTTGGTGATATGCGATTAACGGGACAAGCTTATATATCTATATATATATATATATACAATACTTGTTCAGATATAAAATTGTACTTCTTTGAAAATTTTGTTAGAAAGTGATGTTAGTGTTGGTGCAATGTGTGGGTGTGTATGACTTAAAGGTGTGTAGGTAAGCGAAAGGCTTGCCCGAAGGAGTGCTTTTTAATGTCTATCCATATATATTCTTTTATTAGCGAGTGACTAAGTGTTGTGAGATAATGAACGATAATAAACCGCCTACAGCTATTGAAATTAAGTTGAAGAAACAGTGAAATAAAGTTGCGTATATACATACATACATAGTTTGTAAAAACAGTGAGCAATGCTTATAAGGTTTTTCGTGGACTAAGGTAAAAGTATAAGTTATTGGCAAGGATATGAGAAAAAGAGAAAGAGAAGAAAGAGTTGATGGAAAAATATGATGAGTACATTTAAGAATTGTTTTCACTTGAATAATTTTTTTTAGGTACAGAAAATTGTAAAAAAAAACAATTTAAGTATTTGCTTTTTTGCTAAAAACAGAACAATTTTATTGTAGAATATTTTGAAATAACATTGATTTATTCGAGAAAGCGATACGAATTACGTTCTCTTTTTCAATAAGTAATAAATTGTAGGTATATGAAAATTAGTTGCAAGTTTCGATATTTGGTGGCTAATCAAAGCCTACAGTCTTCCGCTGTGTTAAAGAAGAGAATCAAAAATTACCGTGTACGAATAAAAGAAATTTCTTTATCTGATATTTCGATACTCCTTAAAAAATGTCTTCAAACAAGGCATGCAAAATTTCACGCAAAAAAAATCCTACAATTCAAAATCGGGTTGCATAAAACTTTGAAAATTTCAAGTAAAAAACTTGTATTTTATTAGTTGTAATACGAAATAGCGACCGCCTTTTTCTTTAACTTTGCTTGTAATATTTAAAATGTTGATAAGAAATGTCACTGTCACGGGCTTTTTTTCCAAATTCTTTGCTTTTCACTTTGAGTAATTTTTTGCGCTGTTTTTTGGTTTTTTTTCTGTGTTTTCTTAAACTATTCGAAATTTTTAGGAACTGGATGTAAGTTATAGTACTGAATGGAAACCATTCTTCAGCGTTTAAAAATGTTGAAATTTTCATCCAAGAAAAACCAAATTTCTTATGATTAGGACAGGAAAATTGTTTTTGGTACACGACTTTAAAGTTCTGGTATTGCTAGGCGACTTCAACATTCGACCTTAGTAAGCTTTTTAATTCTGGTCACTAACGTTTATTTTTAATTTTTTTGTTCGAGTCGAGTATTAATTACATTTGCACATAGTCGTCTCATTAGCAAAAGGCTATCTCGTATATCAAATATTCCCTACAAAACTTTTAAATAAAGTTACAGTGATCACGAAAAATGTTTACGAACTGTTTAAAATTCTATAAAATACGTAATATCATCGTTTCAAAAAAAAACTTTGCCCTCAGTTCATTACAGTTCAGAGACTTAAAAAGCTTTTGACTAAAGTGTTAAATTTATCACATTATATCTTCTTCTTTGGCGCTCAATATACATTGACTTTTTGGAGCGAATTGAAACCACTTCGGCTTTTACGTAATTCTGTCAGTTGTTCACACATAGTGTTAATAGATACTTCTGCATTTTATCCTTCCATTATATTTATGAACTCGCTTATTGTCGTTGCCCAACCATAGCATCTTTTCGCAGAAGCATCACCATTCCTGCGCACAATATGTCCAGGTCATCGCAAAAAGTTTGAATCTTAGCTGACTTTCACTAGTTAGGTTAATGCCATAGTCGATGGACTTCTTCGGTACTCGTCGCCCAAAAGAATGTAGCCTAAGACCTCTCTTAGAATAGTTCTCTCGAAAGGCATCAATGACTCTTCATTTTCGTTTTTTTTTTCATCCATTAGAGGACTCCGCTTTTCTATTCCTACCGAGCTCAGATTAACACCTCTATGCAAGACCTGGTCTTCACTTGATCTTCCTGCCTATTAATACAATTATTGGTGGTAAAAGTGCTAGGCCTTAAGTACCCAAAGTCGTTCACTACTTGATATCTTAAACCATCAACAGTGACATACATATGTCCCAATACGCGAAAACTCTTTGTGTGTTGCCAGCAGGTCGTTTTTCTTGTCCTTTTTTTGCTTCCTTCTCTGAGCTGGAAAATTCTGCGCTGGTTTTGAATAAGTTTTTTTCTGTTCAATAAATGGTTATAAGTGACCTTTGGGTCAATCTGGATCAGATGGAAAATTTATACTTACGGATTCGTAATCAGCACAAAAAACTCTATCAAAAATAGCTCTAAAATTTAGTGAACCATAAAAAAAATATTGGAAAAAATTTTGTTAAATTAAGTTTTTTCTGTCCAATAAATGACTATAAGTGACCTTTATATCAAGATGCAGTGATCTTATTTGCAGGAACAGTAGTCGAGTGTATTAGCTTTAATTTGAGCTTAAGTGGAAGGTTCTGTCACCTTTTGTTTCTTTGCTAGAGCTTTCCAAATATAACACTTTGAGTTTTTTAAAAATACCGTTATATGGGAAATGTTTTGTTTATATTAACACCTTTATACTACTATTCACTAAAGAAGCTTGTGTTCCAAATTTGAAGCCTCTTGGCTAATTTTTACTACATATGGCCAGCTTTTTCATGATGCCTCCATCGATTTTCCTTCGCCGAGCAAATTTAGAAATTTGACAAATCTCGGCGCAACTCAGCATCATTCGTGAATTGAACAGCCTTCTGCACCTTACACGTTAAAATCACATTTTTTTTTGTTAAGAATGACCCTGATAATATGTAGTCTCGAAAAAGTAAAAGTATAAACGTAAAAGATTTTCGCAATTTTTTTTCAAAAATTTTGACATCATCTTGAAAATAATTCAGTTTGTGACGTAACTTAATACAACATCACAATGCAAGTTTTATACGCATTTGATTTACTCGTAAATTTTTTATACAATTTAATTTTTTTGTAAAAATTAACTCATTTGGGCCACGAAAATTAAAAAAAAAAAGCGTGAGTACTAGGTACTCATGAAATTTGATGTGTAAACATATGCGAACGGCAAAGCATAAAAGTACGTTTACATATAAATATAATCTAATCAAAGCTCGTTGTGCTTGTCAAATTGGTTGTGCTTGTTATTCACACAACGCGAGGAAAAGTTAAACTTCTTCTCTGTGCCACCGTGGTCACTTTTTTCTGCAACACATATTATGCCATTTAAATATATTTTAACTGAATATTTTATTAAAAATACCTTTACAAACCTATTTTCCTTACTAGGGTAAATTTTTGTTTACTTTAACATTTGACATTCCTCCTCTTCTTCGCACGTATAATCGATAAAACTATTTTGGACACTAAAAAGTTATCGGTTTAATATAAGATATTTTTAATTATAATTTTGCATGGCATATCCCTTTTCTAATAAAAGATTAGGGAGTTAAGCTCGAAAATTAGGATAATCTTTTTATATGTAAAGCTTTTATTAGGCGATTCAGTTACATACATACAAATGTAGGTTAGGTTAGAAATTAAACATTAATTTCACTTAATTTTATTCATTTTGCTGATTTAATTTTTTTATTCATTTTCATTTTTAATTATTTCAATACATGAAATTATCGGTATGATTGATAAAATATACTTGTCAATCAAGGGCGTTGAAATATCTTGGAAACACCGCATCAGTTATTGTTTTTGAGCTTATAGTTTGAGCATTTCTATTTGTATATATTCCTAAATTTAGTTTTTTTTTTTTCGGGATATAATCTGTGGTTCATGTAAATGCAGTTCATGTTGCTGGATTTTACCCGATGCTTTTTTTAAATGATTTCAGTATTTTTTTTAATTTTCGTCTTGCTTTTTTATCCAAATAGACAACTAAACCATCTACGAATATCAAAATGCATGTGCGGAGTTTAAATAATCGGAAGCAATAATCAATTGGAGCGCATTTCCTCTTACTATCCATATGCCTAAATGTATGCAACCATTTGGAAAGTGAACACAGGGTGCTTCTAATGAAAATGAAAATCTTATGCTGAAATACACATGCTAAGCCCTTCGAAATTTTGTGCTGGGATATGCGTTACAGCTTCGCAAATTTTACCCCTACCGAAACCAAAGATGTATACACATCAAAATGTTTCACCAAAAATCATAATACGTGAATAAGCTTACTGTTTAGGGATACAAAAAGTGGTTGAAAATATCTTTCCAATAATATCATAAAAATGCATTTGAAAAGTGGTTGAAAATTACATTAAAAATTGCACTTATTGCGCCGCATGAATAAAAACTAAGCAATTGCTTCGCAGACCTTTTACTTAAATTCATTGGGGTGATAGTTTTTCTTTTGTTAAAAATCATTTTTTAATTAAAAAAAAAATCTTTTGAAGAACTGAACTTTGGTATGGTGAAAATGAACAACATCTTCCACAAAAAAAAATAAAAAATAAAATAAAAAAATTGCCAAAAATCAACACAAAGTCCTAGCTACTTCAAACTTGCACTTTATTTTACTAAAATTTAATGGGCTACCAAACTCCATACTCAGAGTGTTCCTAAGACATCTAATTAAAAAGTTTAAATTTCTGATGAAATTTTTATCGAATTTTCCTAATTTTTTTACAAAGTTTCAAATTATGATTTGTATCGAATTTTCCTAATTTTTGTACAGAGCTTGAAATGTTTTAGATACATGGTTTTTGTAAGACAACGAGCTACACTTTGAAAAAAAAATAAAAAATTAAATAAGCGCATACGAAGTAGCCAAAGAAAGCTAAAATGTCTCTTCGCTTTTTATAATTGTATGGTGCCAGTTATTTCCCAAGTTCGTTTTTTTGCTGCCGCCTCATAAAAATTTAGTTTTTGCCCTAAAAAAAGTTCTATAAATAAATAAAAATTTTCAAATTTGACCGTGCCGAAATCATATTATATTTCACAAAATTTTTTTCTCTGAAACAAGTAAGAGTACATCAATGACTGATACAAATTTTTAAAAACGAATTAAAGGTTCTACAAAAAATGCCTCTAATGGGTTTTCGATAAATTCACTTCTCCGAAACTTTTCAAGAATAAACTGTACATTGCACAGCACAGCTGGTAGGCAAGCGGGCACACACGGCGTATGAGTGTTGGAGTAAAATGTTAAGTCGCGATATGGCAGTTATGGGATTTTTTTTTGCAGATTGCCTTAAATACATATCTTATTGCATATGCTCCAGATTTAGTGCTTTATAATTAAATATTTTGTCTGTTTTGAATTTTGGCAGTGGCTGCTATATTTCATATATTTCCTATATTTCCCTTTATTGCTTGTTCACATGCTAAGTATCTGCTTTCATGCATTCAAGAGCACCTGTGTGTGTTCGATTACTTATATAAAGATGAGCAAATAACAAGTTAGTTATGAGCTTCAGTGTACATATATGCACATCACACGACTAAGACATTACAAAGTGTATGAACAAACATACATACATACATGCTTGCCATTCAAATGCACTCCTCCGTTTACTAATTTACTAATGTCCTTGAAATATATTTTCTGAACTTGACCTCGTTCTTAGCATGCTCAGGTGGCAATGATAAAGCTTAAGTATATTTAGTAGGAACTTTAAATGTGAAATTATTTAAATATGAAAAAGTTTTTTGGAATGGAAAATGCAAAAAAAAAAATATTAAATTGCTTTCTTGCTTATAAAATGCGTACAGTCTAGTAGCCTTGAAGAGCGTAAAAAACAGCTTTATTCATTCCTTCAAACGATAGCTTCATTTCAACCATATCCAACGTTCGCATTAAAGCAATTCCATAAAAGTTTCATAGTAGTTTCTCTAAGCGCTTATTTGTGTAACTTTTTCAGAATTATCTTATTTCACCGAACTCATCGCGTTAGAACCTGTTCGCTTTAAACAGTTTCGAATGCCATCATTTTTTATATTTTTTACTTTGCCTCTTCGCCTCTTTGAACACGGTTTTTTAATTCTACCACAAAATGCACTTAGCGAAGAGCAGCTTAGCAACTTATGCCACTAAACGCTTATATGTATGTATATTTTTGGTATATATGTATGTACGTACCTTTGTTGGTTTTGTGTACATAACGGCTGACCACTCGCAGCTCGTCTACTCAATCATTCATGCGCACATTTAAGGTGACAGACAGGTGTATAGGCATCCCCCATCAGCACCAGCACCAACCACCAGCCGCGCCATCAGATCAGATCGCCGGATTTTTCGGAAAGCCATCCACGTTTTAGTAGTGAATTCACCTGAAAAGGCATAAGTAATAAGCGAAGTTAGACGAAAAGAGAATATCTGGAAAGGAAAACAAGCGACGCAAGCGACGGGGGTAGGGCGTGATTAAGTGTGTGGAAAGCTTAGTGTTTGAAATCCCTTCTTCGCCGTGAGGCATTCGTAGGCAGTCACGCGCAAAATTTCTGCTTTGGGTTTCTCTGGCAATTTTTTTTTTGTTTTTCGTTTGTTTTTCGTTTTTCCTTTGCAGCATCAAAAAGGTATGAAATATTTTTCGCTTAGCCTTAAAGTGCCTTTGAGTGATTGAATTTTTTATGAAAGTCTAAGTTGTGCACCACGATTTGCCAGGTTGGGCAGGCGGGCGTGTGCGGACATTCGTTGGATTAAACAATGCCATGTATTCAGTTGTGTATGGACATACACACATACATATGCACGCTGAAGTTTTGTGTTTAAGTGGAGGCGATGAGAGTGAGTCTTAAAGGTGATGTGCGTTGTTCTTATCCGATGGGGGAAATAATTGAAACTTTTCAAGCTGGGAATGTGCTCTTTAAAGTTTGTTTAAATGTTTTTTTTTTTTCTTTTATTGCAGTTAAAAAGTGAAAAACTTAAAAAAATAGCTGAGTACTTTAGCGTATAGCAGAAATAAATGAACTGTTAAAGATTTTAAGATACTAAAAATAATTAATAAAAATATTGTTGTGAAATATTAAGATATACTAAATACTGTTGATTGTTGTTAAAAGTGAAATTTTTAAAATTACTGTTAGAAATAGAAATAATGAACACATATCGGAAGAGTGAATATTGTGTGAACACTGGTCAATAAGAATTTCGAATAAGCATTATCATGAAATGTAATGAAATACATACAAACCACAGCGTAGCAAAACGTAACAACTGAATTGAAATTTGTAAATAATTAATTTAATCGGCAGCTGCAGGTATACCACAAACTATCACTGGCAGTAGAATTCACTAAATGGTAAGTGTATGCAATATTGATTTTAATGCATTTTGTAATGAATTTGTGCCTGCTTCGGTTATGGGCTTAACAGCCTTTAAAGTACATATTTACATATCTATATTACTTATACGACCCATTTTGGTAGTTTTTGATAAACACGAATGGCGCTGGAAACCCGTGTACTTAAAGATGGCGCTACTCAAGTTTTTTTGGCATGCCTTTAAAATTTACATATAATAAATTTGTTTCAATAATTCAAAAAAAAAAAAAAACGCATTTGCCCGCCGCCACGGCCGTGTGATAACGTCACCAAATGGTACAGATGCACCTAAATTTTCTAAGCGCCAAAAAAGTCCTTTGTTTTACTCTTTTGGCTCAATCGCTTAAAACTTCAAATAAATATTTTATTTTTCAGATTTTTTTAAAGAACTTTGAAATTTCTAGAATATGATTGAATACAAAAATTATCCAAAAGATTTGTAGAGTAACAACATGGGTGTCAATTAAAAGGAAAAATTCTGTAGAATTAAAAAAAAAAAATAAAAGTTGTTGTTGCACCAGCACGAACAAGTGTTGAAAAAGTCCTTTTTAAAAAAAAGCTTATATTTCAAAGAATTTTAAACTGGATTTCAAAAAATTGGTATCGTTCACGTTAATCCCCATTTCTTTTCATATGCATACTTGCATACTTGCTATGTAAAAATTTGAGAAAAAACTTCTAGAAGGAAAAAATACCTTTTTTATCAAACAAAATATTTTAAAGAAAAAAATTACTAACCGATTTTTAAAAAATGATATCATTCTAAAGGCGATTAAACCCCCTTTCTTTCGGTATGCGTATTTCTTACTTCGCTTATAAAAATTTGAGAAAAAACACTTGAAAGCAAATAATACCTTTTTTTTATAAAGGATACCAGAAAACTAATACTTTCTTAAACCCAAAAATTTTTATTTATATACACAAAAAAAAAAATTATTAAAAACATTTTTCCCTCCATATAAACTTCTGCTCCTCTAGGTGAAAGGCTGGCTACGCCCTTGTATACAAACAATTAAAATATTTAAACCGTACATCATACGGTCAGTTTGTTCTTTTAGAGCGTATACATGGTTCCATAATAAAGATTCCAATATCTTCATTTATATATATTGCAAATATCAATATCTTAAAAAAAAAGTGTAACATTTTTTTTTATCTGAAAAATAAATATTGAAAATTTCAAAGAATATTCAAAGATAAAGTTTTTAAAGGACATTTTAAATACTTATTTGTCCTAGTGCACGCTTCCCAAAGCCATTTTCAAAACCGGTTTCTCCACGAAAGCTGTGTTTCCTAAGCAACGGAAGTTACTTAAACGAAACATTCATAAAAATGTATAAATGATTGCCTGGAGTAAAGCTTAATTTGCTCAGCATCATTATTTTTTCATGTAAACGATATCATTTGCCATTAGCTACGCAAAATTTTCGTTGCCAAATTCCCTAAATGAAAAATAGTGGGACCTAAAAATATACAAGATGAAAAATAGATAAAACATTCAAAGTGTAATCTTGCATGTCTCTTCTGCGCTGGTAATACACATTTTATTACCAGTAAAGTCATAAGCTGGTAACACACTATTGCCCCGTGAATTATTCAATGCTAGAATTTCTACAATTCTTTATAGCTAAATTGCTGAATATTTTAACTGCATTACCAACGTACATACCTAGAATCGCAGTGACAAGAACTGGTAATACAATTTTTGGTAATACAATTTTAGCCGGTTACAAAATCTTCGGTAACGTGCAGAACATACCTGTTACTGGAGGATATGCAATTTTTCATTACATGTCAACATGTTACTCATACGCTCTGACAAACGTATTAAAAACAAAAAAATACATATTTATATGTCGTATTAGATATCCTTAGGTTTGGGAGATTTGTCATTCTACATAAAATTGTGATCACAATAGAAAAATCAATCCATCACAGTCAGTACACTTTTACTGCTTTACTCGACATGGAGGAGCTTGTAGCAAAATAAAAGTCACCAAATACCCATAAGCAGGTAAATTGAATGGTTTCTAAGAAAAATAATAATATGTGTACATTAAGGCGAGTAAATTTTTTTGACCATACGCATTTAGCATAGAATGATTCTACGTGTAATTCTAAGTAAATTTGCGAAGAAAATCAATTTGAAGTCTGCCAAATAGGTTTCTTCCGAAAAGTTACTTGGAACGACACTTAGAATGCTTCTGTGATATACGCTCATAGTCAAAACAAATCTCGCATATAAAATCAGCGGCCTATATATCAATAAGTTATTCAGTAAACATATTTCGTTATGAGAGAACGAGCACTCCACTACTACAATTCAACAGAGCAAAGCCAGTCGAACAGACACTAAAAACTACTTGAAAGCAATTGTTGCAAGGCGATTGCAATGAGTCAATATAGCCTATTCTACAGGGTTTTCTGTTAAAAGTGTAGACTAAAACAAAAGCTTCTCCAGTGATTATGGATGCGGCTATTATACGGCCGAAAATTGCAAGGAATAACTGGACGCATTATGAAAATTAAAAAGAAATCACGATGCGGAAAATTATCCCTTAGCATCCAACTAAGCTGAGTCTCCCACCCAATCCTCAGACCCGTAGCTATAATATCAAAGACAAGAGAGAAACATACTAACAAAATCTGTGCGTATGTCCAGCGAAAGTAAATAAAATATATAAGAAACTAGGCGAATTCTACCAACTTCCTACTTTTTATTTATCTTATACTTTACGGGTCTTAACTTAAACGAATTTATTGATCTAATACGGTATTCACATGAGGCGTCCAGGCTGCGCCCCAACTTCACTGGAAGCGTTTAGTTGAAAGGCCGTTTACATCAGTTGCCTGTAAAATCGCCTCATGAGAACGCCGTATTATGGAAATTGTTACCCATACGTCCCGTATACCGAAATATTTTATATTTTAAGCTAAAATATTATCTATGAAAAAAAAACGGTTCTTCTGCAGCCAAATTAAATAATTTCATGGTTAATGCAACACAACAATTTCCTTCTTAACTTCATTTTAATAAAATTTCACACGTCTGCGGTAAAAACAAAAACGAAAGGAATGCACGCAATAAAACATCACACGCAGGGCATATCAGCGCACACACACACACATGTGGTTCATGTAGGTGTGGGTGTATGCGGAGAACGCATAGCCTTTCAAGTGGTTAAGTTTATAAAAACATGCACACTCAACTTCCTACGCTGGCTGCGGAGTAGGCACATTTTAATTAAATGCTGCTCATTTTTAAACCGAAAATATTTGAAGTATGTTTTGACGCTAAATATGTGTCATTTAAAACAAGGAAGTTTGGCGTTAAATGAAAGTCAAAGATTCTGACAAAAAATAAGCGATATGCAAGTGCTCTCCCGAGTTCTTTGAAACCTTTGGAGATGATAGTTTTAAATAAAATACTTTGAAGCCTAAAACAATTTGTAGCTTAAATTTTTTATTACTGTAAAATAATAAAACATTTTTCAAAATGTTGAACAGTAAAGAAAAAATTTAAAGAATTTTTAATTTTAATTATATTTAATTTTTTTTTTGTAAATTTTACCACTTTTAAATCTTATAATTTACATGTAACAATTCCTTATATTCTCCACTTAGAAAAAGAAAATTATGGAGGTTTAATGGTTTAGTACCTTGAAATTCGCATAACATAAGCTCAAAGCAGTCCACTTATTAAGCAAATTATCCGTCCTCTGTGCTACTTACACGCACTAAAATCGCAATATCCTGAGGAATATTGAAGTCTCCACTTTTTTAAGAGAATGTTGAGCATAGAAAATAGGTAATCGCCACATGCGAATTAAAACGTTTTAAAAAGTTGCCAAATTAACCAAAAAATCAATCGAAAAAAATTAACAATTTTTTTTTGGTGTCAAAATTTCGAAAAATTTTATCATTGTATACTATAAATTTAAAATAGGTATTTTTAGCTATAATAAGCTGTAGATCTCATTAAAATTCACTTTGTAGTTTCGCAGAAATCGATTAAAAAAATTTCACTGGCTTTCAAGGTTTCAAAGAAATCGATAGAGAGCTTGCATGTCGCTTGTTTTCTGATGGAACCTTGCCATTGGGAGAAACAAAAAAAAGCACGTCTTTAGGGCTTTTCACATCTAGCCAAGGAAAGTAGGTAATTTTATTTGTATATAGTATATGCTGAAAAAGTGCTTAAACTAGCTTGATTGACTGAAAATAAAACGCAAATTTAAATCGAAAATTTAAAGCGCAAGCGCTCATAAATTATGTGTCTTTAAGAAGCTGCTGCTGCTTACAGATTTCATTGTCTACTAATTTCATAAAAATTCAGAGCTTTTCTCCATCTACATATCATTTTTACACTAAAGTAAGGCAACTGTTTTAATGAAGAGCAAAAAATATGAGCTCCACGGACAACAAAATTTATGCTTGCTTAATTCTCTGTGAAATTATAAACTACTTGCACACACGCATACATCTATAAACATTCACATAGACAACCATAAATTTCTTCTATCCCACTCATTCAAAGCTATAGCGAAAAAAGTGCTTTTAATGAATTTTTATGAGCAAACTCGGCTTTTTGTTCACAGTTTACCACTTTCTAATTCTACACAAAAAACAAATGTACATATATGGAGAATTTAAAATTTTTTTCTGCTTTCTTATTTGCTGTCTCTAAACGAGAGTTTTCGCTTTCATTACCGCACAAAAGTATGCAACAAATAAACCGACAATACACATAAGAAATGGCAAAAAAAAGTTGAAACAACAAATGTGCAAATGTGTGTGAAATGATATGAAATGAAAATGGAAATGAGAATGCCATCATTGGTAATTTTCCCAGTGGGACTGCGAGTGCGGATGCATTTTTTTGTTGCTTGTGTTTTGTAGAACTAACTGTGTTATTGCAACAAGTCAGTGTGTGTATATTTGTAAGTTTTTTCGAATGAGTGTATATATGGATTTATAGCAC